ATTGGAATTTTGGTAGGAATTACACTGAATCTGGAGATTGTTTTGGGAAATATCGACATATTAACAATTTAAATCTTCCAATCCAAGAATATGGAATGTTTTTTACTTATGTGTTCTTTAATTTAAGCAATGTTTTGTAGTTTTCAGTGTACAAGTCTTTTGCCTCCTTGGTCACATGTATTCCTAAGTACTTTACTCTTTTCGATGCAAATATCCAGGCCATTGCTTTATTAATTTTCTTTTGGATTATTCATTATAGTGTATAGAAATGTCTTAATCAAATTTCAAGCTCACTATGTCCTGCAGATAATTTCAATCTAGTCTTTTATTTTTTTAAACTAATAATCATAATTGTTTTGGAACCCATTTCTGATCATTCTGATAACAAAAGTCTCTACAGGTCTGTTTTGTTGGTTCATGTTCATGGTGCCCTGTTTCCTTGTGTGCTTGGTTACTTTTGACTGATTTCCGTTTGCTGTCCTTGAGAACTTACCTGAGGGAATTGTTCGAGGTCTAAGATAAAGATATATTCCTCTACAGAGGAGTTTTTATTTCTTCTAGTCATGTATAGACACTGAGGTATTTTTACGTGTGTATGTATATACGTATATGACTAATATATATCAAATTCATAATTTGAGGTTTGCTAGACCACCCAGACAATATAATTTAGGTTGTAATCCATGTGATTTCTGTATTGGGCCACAACTTCTTGGGAACAGGTATTATTCCCTTTCTTTTTCTCCCCTGTTTCACTAAGCATCAAGACAACTTTCCCTGAATTCTCCTGAACATGAGTTTATCTCTTGTTCATACTATTAGTCTTCCATACTTTCGTGGACAATACCCCTTTGGTTCCTTCTCTGTGGATTACACCCGGGACCAAAACACAAACTGCTAATGCCTTCAGGGTAAAAGAGGTTTTGGAGTTCTGGAAATCCATTTACCTGGTTTTCCAGTTTCCCTTCAACTTTGGTCTCATAGTTTCTTAGCATCATATCCTACTATCGTAGTTTCTTACTCCTTGATGCTTTTAAGGAAATATGTTTTACGTGTTAGCCAGTATTTTTACTTGTACGCAGAGGGAGAGTTGGTCCAAATAATCTAGCTCACTATTACCAAAAATTCCAGCAATACCTTATTAAAAAAACTCCATCTGTACTTGACATCCCCTACCATCTTCTCTTTTCTCCTTCATAGTTAAACTTCTTGAAACAATTGTCTATATAAACTATAACCACTCCCACTTCCCATTAACTCTTCAACCCACTCCAAAGTTAGCTTTTGCTTCTAATACTACCAAAAGTGCTCTAGATAATGTCACCTACAAGCACCATCTTGTTGATTTTTATGAATATTCATTGTATTTGATCTCTTAAGCAGAATTGGAGAGACTGTCTCATTCCTTTCTTGTTAAAATGGCCTTTCTTGATATTCATGATACCACATTCTTATGGTTTTATGTATACCTTTCTGCTCTTCCTTAACTGATCTAGGAGTTCATCACAATGGGATTTAACAGTAAATGCTCTTTAATTTATTCTTCTCTTCAGTTTTAGGAATTATCTATGAAATTTCTTCTAGTAGAAATAGGTACCACAATCTCTGTGTTAAAACTACTGTGGCATTTATCATACCACAAATGGTTATATCTGTCTCCCTCTTATTCCCCCATACTAAGCTCTTTTAGAGTAAGTCCAGAACTAAACATAAACACTGAATAACTGGATGTCGAGTAAATTGATGAATAAATGAACAAAGGTTAACGTGCTGTTAACTTCACTCAATTATATTTTGGCTAATTTCTTGAAGAGCAGGTATAAATCCAGACAGATTCACAACGTTTTTACAGATTGGATAAAATGTATTTGCTACGAATCTATTATTAACACAAAAGGACTATTCATTAAAAATTATGTGTAATTTATGTTCAAAATATTCTAATAACTTACACAGTATATGCAAATAAAAATAAAATATGCAAAACAAGAGAAATTACAGTGGTTTTAATTTGGGGGAGCAGGTGGGAAGAAGCTGTTTCTGAAAGTCAGAAAGTGAGAATTTTACTCTGATAAAAGAAGAAACAAAGGCACAGGCTTCGGTTTAATAAGTAAGCGTTAGAGGAGCAGCCTTCTAAGGAATAAATGGAAGCCTAACAGAGCTTTTTGCAATCAAGTAGGAGAAACTCCAGGGACAGCTGGTCTTTCTTGAGACAGATGCAACTCCTGGGTTTCCGTTCTGATCTTTTTTTAAGGTAGCGGAGCAGAATACTTAAACTGAATTACACTTGGGCTACAGTTGCTGGTCTATTTCTCAAGTGAGAAATAGGGCAGCAGTTAAGATTTCCAGGATGCAGGCGTAAAATTCAATCCCAAACAACTCTAAAAACTTCTTCCAGAGACAAACGAAAGTCTTGAGCGTTGAGAAATGGTATTCTCCTGGGGGTCAGATCTTGACAGAGACAGAGACGCACACAAAACGTAGCCCTTGCCGGAACAAACGTTAGAACCCACCCGATGTGGGCCTCCCTCCCTGTTGGTGCTCACTCTAGGTTTAGCCGGGGACCCCTGTGCGTGCCCACCTGCATGGTGTTCCCCTTCGCTCGTCACGTGGCGGCGGTGTCTTCCTGACACCCCAAGTCTCCTTCAGGTTGCAGGCGAGCCCGCCAAAGGCCTAGCCGTTTCCACCGCCCGGAAGAGGGGGCAGGAGGGGGAGGGGAGAACAAGGGCCTCCTTCGCTGGTGCACCCAGCGCGGCTCTGTTGCCGGGCAACGTGGAGGCGTGGCCTAGGGGCTGGCTGTGAGAATGCACCAGGTCCTGCCTGGGGCCTGTGTACTGAGTGGTGCCTTACCTGTTAGTACTGGTGCTCATATTCCTCCCATCCCTCCTTCCACTACCACCAAATCGGCACGTTGTCTCAGAGCCTCTGGCACCCTTCAGCTCCTGAGTCCTGTCTTCATGAAGAAAGAACCAAATCCTGGGGAGAGAACCCTTCAGAGGAGCCCATAGACTATATTTGGATGGATTTTAGGGGACCACTAGCTCACAGACCCCAATTGTGCATCATTTCGTCGAATGCCTAGGTTTGTGTTGGGGGTCTTGGGCGTTTAGGACCAGAGCTTTCATCAGATTCTCAAATGGTTCTCCACCCCTATCTAAAAACCCACTGTCTTAGAAGACAGGAGTTCTGACTTTACGTAGAAAGCCTAGACAGGTGGATTCCTTGGTGGTTAGGTTAAGGAAAGGGTGTTTACTGGTAGCTGCCAGGAACGTGAGGAAAACATTTGATATTATCACCAAATAAGGTTATATACATGGTCACAGAGATATACTGGTAGGATTTGGAAAAGAAGAAAAAAATGTTTTTAGTGACACAATTTTAAACTCGGGTTCACTATTAGACTGCTCCACCTGTAGTGCCCAGTTAATATTTAATGAAAATCCTATACTCCTGGTAGCCTATATGTTTTGTTGTGTTTGTATATAAAATATTAATTTGTTAAATATAAAATATTGTAGAACATCCCACAATTTTTGTAACCATGTTTTGGTATTTTTTCTTCTTCTTCCTTTTTCTTTATATCCTGGGAACCCTAAAATGTAAATAACCTAAGTCTCTCTGTATTTCTGAGAGGCCTGAGGAACTGCTGCTTAAATTAATATTCAACTGGTTTTATTTTGACCATCCAAGACCCTAGCTAGTTGAGTTACTAATCCTCCCTATTCTAGAGTCACCCTCCTCTAACCAGCCAGCCTGCTTTGTGGTGGAGGAGGTTATCCAAGAGGGAAGTGAGAAGGGAAAAACCCAGGGGAACCTGAATGGAAATAATCTCAACCTCCATCTGAGGTTAATTCTGTGTCCAATAAGCACTAATTTGATGTAAAATGTTTTCCAAGTGTGTTCATGATCCTCTACTGGTGACACTGTTTTCTTTCTGGTAATGGATGACACTGGTTGCCTTTCAGATGTTGCAGAGTGAAATGACTTATTTTGAGATAAGTTGAACACTACTCGTTGGTAGATAAAGCTAACCCCCTGATATGTTTGTAGTAATCAGATATTTATTTTACAGCAGATAAATCAGAACTTGCTTATTGGACTATTTGATGGATCATGGCCAACTTCAACTAGTGTAGTTTTAGTTGGTATTCACATTCTAAGAGAGTAAGTTACTGGACACTATGGTATTATAAGAGTTGGTGACTTTGTCACTGATGAAATCCAAATAGGATAAACTAAAACAGCTCATTAAAAGTCAGCTCTCTTCTGAGTGCCTTTAATAAAAATAACAAAAGAGCATGTGTATCAGTACAGTTGACTCTGAATAACACAGGGGTTAGGAGGGTCCTCCCATGCATCAAAATCCTAGCACAACTTTTGACCCTCCCCAAACTTGACTACTAATAGCCTACTGCTGACCAGATGCCTTACCAATAACATAATCCATTAACACATATTTTGTATGTTATATGTAATATATGCTGTATTCTTACAATAAAGTGAACTACAGAAAGTGTTATTAACAAAATAATAAGAGAAAATACATTTACATTACTGTACTGTATTTTTTGAAAAAGTCCTTGTATAAGTGGACCTTGCAGTTCAAACCCATGTTGTTCAAGGGTCAACTGTACTGTCAAAAGCTGCAGGGATCTGGGGCGCCTGGGTGGCGCAGTCGGTTAAGCGTCCGACTTCAGCCAGGTCACGATCTCACGGTCCGTGAGTTCGAGCCCCGCATCGGGCTCTGGGCTGATGGCTCAGAGCCTGGAGCCTGTTTCCGATTCTGTGTCTCCCTCTCTCTCTGCCCCTCCCCCGTTCATGCTCTGTCTCTCTGTCCCAAAAATAAATAAACGTTGAAAAAAATTAAAAAAAAAAAAAAGCTGCAGGGATCTAAGGAACATCATTATGTACAGCTTTATTATCTAAGAAAAAAATATTTTAAGATGTTTTTAAAATTGTTGACAAATTAAACATTTTATAATCTCAACCAACTTTTATTGAGAATGTTTACAACACAGGGATTGTCAAATACAGTAAGTTTAGCAAGGATTGTTTTTGAGAAGAAAACAAAATGTCAACATTTTGCTGCTTCTGTGGAAAATTGTTGGTCCTGTATAAAAACAAAAATTAAGTTTAGAGTCAAGTATAAATGAGTCTGTGAAGGAGGGTAGGCAATGTTAGCATACAGACATTTCTATAAATATTTCTTCATGTATGATAAAATTGACATCAGGGCCATTTCTCAGCTATTCTTCAGTCTGTATAGTTTTAGTTATTAATCTCTCTCTGATAGAACACTCGTTCTATGTGTCTGTATTTCCCAAAACTTTATACAGTATTTAACTATATAAAAGTTTCCTAAAGCTCATTGATGCCAGTAAGATCTAAGAATAAAATATTTTAATATTTGCACAGTTATTCCTTATTTATTTATTTCCTTTTGTATGTGCAATTAAATCAAATCCCATTTTATGTCTAACCATTTTTTAAAATGTCTAACCATTTTCTAAGTAAATAGAAGTCATCAAGACAGAGAAAGATCTCAGATAATCAGATGAAAAAAAAACAAAAAATGACTATTGAGCTGTTTATTACAAAATACAATGAAATCTTAAGTTAGTCTGTGTAAACCCTAATCTTGAAAACAACCCAAATAAAGCAATTTTTGTCAAATTCAGAGAGAATTTTTAACTAAATTAACCAAATCATGGATTAATTTCCATTTCACATTTGTGAAGACTCTACCACTTGGTTTGGTGTTAACAATCACAGACATTTTTTTCAATTAGTATTAAACTATTTTTTGTCCACATTTTGTAAATATCTCTATCTTTATAATATTATAAAGCATAGCTTCTTTTCCATTGACCCTTTGGTCTTAGCTCCTTAAAAAAATAAAAAATTAAGAATTTATTTGCTCAGGGGCACCTGGGTGGCTCAGTCAGTTAAGCATCTGACTTCAGCTCAGGTCATGATCTTATAGTTCTGAGTTGGAGCCCCATGTCAGGCTCTGTGCTGACAGCTCAGAGCCTGGAGCCTGCTTCAGATTCTGTGTCTTCCTTTCTCTCTCTGCCCCTCCCCTGCTCACACACAAATACTCTCTCTCTCTCTCTCTCTCTCTCTCTCAAAAATAAATAAACCTTAAAAAAAATTTTTTAAAAGAATATATTTGCTTATATTTCTGATGTGAATATAACAGGCCTTTGCTAAAATAGGAATTAATGCCAAATATAGTCCAAAAATTTAAGTTCCTAATTTTGCCCCATGAGCACATTAAAATTTTCTTCACTTTTTCAATATTTGTCTCTTTTATTTCTTTCTTATGTACTGAATTGGCTAATGCATAAGAACTACATTAAATAAGAGGTAACAGAGCATCCCTGTTTTGTTCCTGACATTTCAATAGAAATTCTTCAAAGTGTTTTACTATCAAGACTGCTACTGACTTTGAGACCATTATATAAATAATGTTAATAAAGATTCATCTCTTTCTAGAAGATGTTCTTTTAAAACATCAGAAATTGGGAACGCCTGAATGGCTCAGTTGGTTGAGCGTCTGATTCTTGATTTTGGCTCAGGTTATGATCCCAGGGTTGTGGGATTGGGCTCCATGCTAAGCGTGAAGCCTGCTTAAGATTCTCTCTCTCTCTCTCTCTCTCTCTCTCTCTCTCTGTCCTCTCCCAGCTTGTGCATGAGCTCTCTCTCTCCATCTCTCTAAAATTAAAAAAAAAATGGACAAAAATAAAATAAAACATCAGAAATTGATGTGGAATTTTGAGATGATTAAATAATTTTTCTTCTAATGGTGAACATATTGTAAAAGAATTCCTGATGTTGAACCATCCTGAGTTGTTGGAACAAACTTCACTTTTTTGGAGTTATATAATTTTTAAAATATATGGCTGAATACAATTTACTAGTATTTCTTTAACATTTTTGTATTGATATTTATAAATAGGATTGACCTATAGTTTCTTTTTATATACTACTTTTATAAGGTTTTGGTATTAGTATTTGCTGGCTTCATAAAAAATATTTTGAGATTTTCTTCCATCGCTGAGCTGTAAAAGTTCAAAATCCGTTGGTCTAGTACTTTTGAGCAGGGAGTTTCTAGATAATGTTTTCAATTTTTTCCAATGGCCATTAGTCTGTTCAGATTTTTTTTCTTTCTTCTGAAGACAATTTTGGTAGTATCTACCTTACCAGACAATCCTCCATTTTATTCAGGTTTTCAAATGGGTAGGCACAAGATTTGCAAAGTACTCTCTTATGGTTTCCATTTCTTCTATATCTGTTTTAATTTCCTTACTTTCATTTGTATTTTTGCATGTTTATGGTTTCTCCTTTTTTTTCTTGATTAGGGTGGGCCAGTTAGGCTAGTTTATTTTATTTTATGCAAATAATCAGATTTTGCTTTACCAATTATTCTGTTTTACTATTTTATAATTTATTAATTTCATTTTTCATTTTATAATTTTCTTCCTTTTGCTCTCCTGAGGTTCACCTTGTTGTTGTTTTTTAACTTTTTAAAGTAAATCCTTAATTCACTCGTTCTTTCTTGCTTGACAGTATTTAAAGCCTTGTATTTTCTACTGAATATGGCTTTGGCAGAGCCCCATAAGTTTTAACATGCAGTGTTTTTATTATCTCTTTATTTTCTAGATATTGTAAATTTTTTGGTATTATCTTCATTAGTTAGAAATAGTACATTTTGATTTTTGTTTTCATGAGAAAGTATTAAGAAATTTAATATTCTTAAGCTAACTATGTATTTAAGGGTTGAGATGGTGATATGAAAAATATATTTGCAAAAACATGCTAAGCACAAAATCTGCATTTAAGATTATGTAAAGTTAATAGAATATACTTTTATTTGCATGGTGTAAATTTATCAACCTGCATTGGGTTTAATTTCAAAATTCACAGCCTAATAAGATACTAGGATTAACAAATTTATTAAATATGTAGGGCTATCCAATAGCTATGAAATGTCTACTATATCTCCAACATTGATGTGGAAAACTGAGTCCCAAAGTAGAAGTCATGCTCTCATGTCTTCCCACATTTTCTTAGTTCTCTAGAAATGGTAAATTACAGCTTTTAAAAAGAATCTTTGAATACAGGTCACTTGGAAGACAGAAATGCATTCAGTCTGTAAGTTCTGGCCCATTATGGTGGACACTGATCATCACAATAAGAGACAACCTCTGACATATTACTTGCCCAATAAATGATGATAAGGTCAATGTCTCTGAAACAGTGAGGACTATTGTGGTATAGTCTTCATATGAAAATGTTGGGGTTCAGGGGGGAATGGTCAGGAAAAAATTCTTGAGGCATCTTTTGTGCAAAAAAGGGGGTTTCATTCAAACACCGACAGGACCCGTGAGCAGAAAAGGCTGCATTGCAGACGTGAGGAGTGGCTGATTATATACTTTCAAATTGGGAGGGGGCTAGGGGTAGCGTAAGTCTCTAAGGAATTTGGAAGCAAGATTTCCAGGACCTTGAGGGGCTAGCTGTTGTTAGGAAGAGGTCATTTATTACTGTCTAGTAAAACCTTAATCATGAGACCCTTCAGATGTATATCAGGGGGCCATATGCTTGGAGTATGGTCGCTAACATATATGTCTGGAGGGGGTAGAGATGAAGAAAATTTCTAAAGGAATTTTTTTATGTTAAAGGAGACTTACAGGATCCTGGAAGTGAGGTTAATGTTAAGCTAAGATTCTCTTTTGCCTTTAGCAAAGTATTGACATTGAGGCAGTTGAGTTCCTAGAAGAAGGTCACTCTGCCTGTCTCAAGGACTTGTCAGTGGGCTCTAAGTTGTAAGGAAATTTAACTTTTTCTTTTGCCTTTGTTCCCTACATCAGTCTGAGGAACACATGGCAGCATATCTGTCCCTCAAATAGGGACATTTTCCATCATATAAAGTCCCCACGGCCCCTATAATTGTATGTGCATTATTAATATTAATATTATTAATGTTAATGTGCACACACAATCAAGTAATAGAAATATACTGATCAAAGCTTAATTTGTGAATATCTGAAAATGACAGAAATTTTCAAACTGGGTTGAATTGTGAAGCACATACCATTTTAAATGTAACCTTCTGACCTTCTTCCATTGCGTGGCTAGAAAATAATAAATTAGAAATAAATCAGTAAACTAAGGAATGAAGTTAATTTTCATACAAAGCAACCTAATGATTTCGACGGGTATTATTATTTCTTCTTTTATCTAGTTTGCTCATCTTTCCATCCGTTCTCCACTTCATTGTTAGAGTTAGTTTCCAAAATGCAAATCTTACCATATAGCTCTTCTTAACTTAATAATAAAGTTGAAATTCCTTAGTTAATTATTTCACTAGTTAATTCATGTTGATTCTTCAAATTCAGCTTTTAAAACCTTCTCTGTACCTCCTCCACTCTCTGACCTGGGTTAAGTGCATTTCTTTTAGAAACCACAGCCCTGTGGGCACCTGTGGGCTCAGTAGGTTAAGCATCCAACTCTTGATGTTGGCCCAGGTCATGATCTCAAGGCATGGTTAGTGAGTTTGAACCCTGAGCTGGTCTCTACACTGACAGCACAGAGCCTTCTTGGGATTGTCTCTCCCTTTCTCTGTCTCTGGCTCTGTCTCTCTCTCTCTCAAAACAAATTAATTGATTAAAAAAGAAAAGAAAAGAAAAGGATATGAAAGAAAAGAAAAATAACCCACAGCCCCTGAATTGAAGGTGCATTTAACATAGTAATTTGTATTTGTTTATTTATCAGTTTCCTGTATTAAGCTGTAAACTCTTAGAGTATAAGATGGAATCCTATCTATCTGCATACTTCTAACCTTTGGAACATTGCCCAGCACCCAGTAGAAATTCAAAATATAGGTGCTAAATAAATGAATAAAAAAACATCTCTGGTAATGTAGTAAGGATACAAACATTTTTTTGGCAAGTGTAACTACTTAGAAAGAAACTCACATTTCACAGACAATTTGGACATACAAAACACTAAATACAATTACAAAGTTTTTCTACTTACAACCTCTAATATAGTTGATTGTTTTCTTTTAAAAACATGAAAATAGTCATAATTCTTCCAGTATCTCCTGAATCAAATACTTAGTAAATATTTCTTTGGAACTTAAGGAATAATGCATCTTTAAGATACTCATTTTCTGCACACGAAATTTTATAGAACTAAACTGTTTAATGGGTGAAATTTGGGGTATTTACAAACATGCGGAGTGGATTAAAGAAAAGATCAGAGATACCATAACATTAAAACAATACGGTGGTGGAAGAAGTTAACCTCAGACTATAATACCTGATGTCAGATATCTATAAACAAACTTCAACTTAGTGTAAATAAATGCACAGGGTATTTTTCAATTTTAATATTGAATGCTTTTTTTTGAATACAGTATTTGCATACCCTGAATAAAAACTGTCTCCGAACTTGGCTTGCAATAGGACCTTGGAATTCTTCCTGGAAGAGAAAATGAGGGCATTACAAATCAACTAACAGTAAAAATACGTGAAAATTCTTCTTGAGAGTATAGTGAAGCTCAAAGGTATTTTCAACGATCATAATTAGACAAAGAGGGAATCAAGGGCTTGAGTACATAATTCATACCAATAAGTAATCTTTGTATGTATACCTGAAGAATTTTCAACTAGCAAAATTGCCAGGATGTTATATTTTAAAATAATTTCCTAGGGGTGGCTGGCTCAATTGGTAGAACGTGCCACTCTTGATCTCAGGGTCATGAGTTTGAGCCCCATGTTGGGAATAGAGTTTAGAGTTATTTAAAATTTTTTTTTAAATAACTAATAAAATAATTCCCTTATCAACATAATAGCTTCTAGGAAGTTCATCAGTTGTATGTATATTCATCGGTAAGTAGAATGAGAAATGACAGTTCATAGATAATTAACTATATTTAATTTTGTTTGAATGAAATATTTCCTTTAAAATACATACTGTATGTGCTAACACTTGAACAGGGAACATATAAAATGGAATTGTGTCAGAGCTAAAATACACTATATTTCTATAAGGAATTGAAATTAAAATTGAGGGACAACTTTGATAAACTATATTTATTCAATGAGACTTGAGTAGAGATTTTCCCAATATAACATATTCACAGATATTATAATGAAAAAAACACCAAATGGAAACAAACAAATTATTCAAAATGGGTATATTTTGAAGTACTTCTTTTCTTAAAACACTTCATTTTTAGGGGCGGCCGACTTCAGCTCCGGTCATGATCTCCCGTTTCACAAGTTCGAGCTCTGCATCCAGCTCTGTGCTGACAGCTCAGAGCCTGGAGCCTGCTTCAGATTCTATGTCTCCCTCTCTCTCTGTCCCTCCCCCACTCAAGCTCTGTCTCTCTCTCTCTCTCTCTGTCTCAAAAATAAATAAACATTAAAAAAATTTTTTAATTGCATTGTAAACAATGGCAAAAATATTTAACATTTTATGGTTTTCATAAAATTGGTTATTATAGCTTCCTATTTTCAACAATTTATTATAAAAGTGTCAGGATGGCAATCACTATGAAATCTGTCATCAAGACCTTTTAAAATTATTCTGTAATATAAGTATAATCATATATTTAAATTCTAAGAAACAGCCCTGACAGCTATTAATATTCTGAAATCCCTTATTGATTTGGGGTACCTGGATGGCTCAGTCAGAAGAGAATGTGACCCTTGATCTTGGGGTCATGAGTTCGAGCCCTACCCTGGGTGTAGAGATTACTCAAATAAATCAATAAACTTAAAATAAAAATAAATTCTGAAATACTTGCTTTAAAACAAATATATCTTAAATTCTTAATATTTTGTATCTAATTCTCATCCTGACTATAAACTCTCCAAACTACTTAATATTTAAAATATACTTATAGAGGGGCACCTGGGTGGCTCAGTCAGTTAAGCCACTGACTTTAGCTCAGGTCATGAACTTGTAGTTCGTGAGTTCGAGCCCCCATCAGGCTCTGTGCTACAGCTCAAAGCCTGGAGCCTGCTTCCCAATTCTGTGTCTCCCTCTCTCTGCCCCTTCCCCTCTTATGCATTCTCTCTCTCTCTCTCTCTCAGAAATACTAAATGAAGAAACTTTATTTTTTAAATGTTCACGTAGAAACTATATATTTATGTTTATATAAGAAAAGTTATATATATTAAAAATATATATATTTATATATTCTATATAAGACATATTCCATACAAGATTCTATATAGATATACATATCTATCTATATATTTATATATTCTACATATTAGAAATATATATATATATTATATAAGAAAAAAAGGCAGGGAAAAATGTAACTTAAATAGTGGCAAAATTTAAAATCTTCAAGCCCAAACACACAGGTCTTTTTAGTCTTATTATTTAGAGATAGAACTGCATATAAAAGAATTTGGGAAGTAGGGATAAAAAAGATGTAGGTTTGGAAGTGAGGATGTCTAGCAAAGAACATTTAAGAAAAGTGTTTGAATACACTAAGATCTGAAAACTCATTTTCTTTAAGAACACAAAACATTTCACTACCAAAAATCTGTTTTAAAATTAGGTGATATACGCTCACTTACTAGCATTGTCTTGGGAAAGATCTTTATTCTGAGTTGTTTCCCCTTTAGTAAACTGGGGACAAGAGTTGTGTATTAACAGAGTTGCGAAAAGAATAAACTGAGGTAATATAAGACTTAAAACTGTAATGCATCACAACAAAGTAAGGCATCACTTAAAATAATACCTAGAAACTTTTATCATCGAGAGAGTTAGGATTCCTTTTCAATGACAATAAAAATGCCACAATTTCTAGTTAAAAATGTGTTAAAAGTCAGTTGTATTCATCTTAAACATAGATACTGGATTTGGGCCATATTTTTAATTTGAAAAACCAAAGTGCCTGCATTTAATTTCTGATATATTTACTTCACGAGCCTTACTCTTCCTAACATTTTAAGACTTGGGTAGAAAGCTTACTGTCCTAGCCAGTTGCCAACCGCACACAGAGGGCAATGAATTGTCCTCCATCTTTTCTCCTATTTCCTACCTAGCGACTAGGCATGCTGCTGTGTCCTCCCTTCAAGAATAGGTCTCCTCCCTGGGAGGGTCACAGCCCCGGAAGGGAATCTAACCCCAGTTTTCCTCATTGGCCCCCAGCTTGAACCCAAAGGGACATAACATGGGGAGGGGGAACAGTTCTCTTCTTCCTGAGTGAAAACGGTTCTGCCAACAGACGCTCTTCCACAGGCCAACTGGGTGTTTATGTTGGGCTTAGCCTGAAAAGGAGGACCTTACAAACCACCACGACTGGGAATTACTGGTCCCACAAAGAGCAGCAAGGCAAGCATGCGGTCTGTGGTACGTACGTCCAGTCTGAATCTCTTCGTTCTTCTCTCATGCAGGTGAGGAACAAGCTGCAGTAACGGATGCACGACAGACGACTGAGAGACACGAACACACACACATGATGAGCACAAAAGCTTCTCGGCATTGAGCATAAAGACGGTTTCCTACTTGTTTGGTTTTGGTTTTGCTTTTACCCACTGTACTTGCTCCAGGCCAAAAAAGAACGAGAAAGGTGTTAGGTAATACAGCCCTTGGAGAGCACTTCAAAGAACCTGGAGAGTAAGCTAAGACACTGAATGAAATCTGGTAGCTCTATGCTACATTGAAGAACACTGTTCTTAGGGCGTCAGCTCCATCACCAGCTGCCAGCAAGGAGACCATCCACCTGCAATTCTCAGAGTCTGCCTGCTTCCAGACTTCACGCAAAAATGATTTGGACAGAGGAAACCTACTCTGTGAGAATCAGTTTTCCATTATGAAAATGTATATCTGGAAGATTCTCCTGTACACACATCTGGTCATCTCCTTTACAAAATATATATTTTGTTTAAAAGTGAACATATGGAACAAGACAACAGGGGACACAAAAGGTGACAAATGTGTCATCGAGAGTGAAAAATGTGACTAAGATACATTTTCTCAAAATGTAAAGATGCCAAGTGGAAGAAAACGAAAGTACATCCAAGACATGTAGTTACCTGAAACAGTTTCATTTTAAGGGCATGGCTTGAATTGAACCTTCTCACAAATATTAAATTCATTTTTCAAATGGATTACTTTAAACCCTACAGAATGGTTATTTGTTAATCAATTCAATCTGTATTTGGCCTAAAGCCAGTATAACCTAACTTTCAACTCCTCATACATAAGAATATTCCATATGCTATTTAAAACTGAGTTTAGGGGCGCCTGGGTGGCGCAGTCGGTTAAGCGTCCGACTTCAGCCAGGTCACGATCTCGCGGTCCGTGAGTTCGAGCCCCGCGTCGGGCTCTGGGCTGATGGCTCAGAGCCTGGAGCCTGTTTCCGATTCTGTGTCTCCCTCTCTCTCTGCCCCTCCCCCGTTCATGCTCTGTCTCTCTCTGTCCCAAAAATAAATAAACGTTGAAAAAAAAAATTAAAAAAAATAAATAAATAAAACTGAGTTTATATTACAGTTATCTTTCCACAGCTCCTCATTCCCTAAATTGGTCCATGATAGTGAGTCACAATCACAGAAGGAATACTATAGTCAAACAATTATTATTAAGCACTCTAGATTAAAACACCAGAATAGCATTTTTAAAATCCATTCATATAAAAAGAAAAGCTACTACTAAAACTGCACAATTTAGAAGTAAACTGAATTCACGTTACTGGTATCCAGCTAATCTTAGTAAATTCTCACATTAAGAGCCTAGTTACAAATAAGGAGACCTGAGGAATAGAAGTGGATATTTCTATTAATGACATTTTCGGCAATCATCTTTTAAAATAATTCTTAAAATGACTTTGAATAAATCTGTTTTATCCTTGCACTAATTGATATCTAAAGCAATATGTTTTTCTTAATCATTTGCACTTTTTTTTTTTTTTGCCTCTAGAATGTAGATTTCATGACAGGAGGGGATCCTTTTTTAATTTTCTATTTTATTCACTGCTATATTCCTAGTACCTAGAGTTGTGCTTGGCACATAATAGATACTCAGTAAATAATTATTGAATGAATGAATAAATACATTTAAAACACATGTAGTTAAGATATAAAATAAATTAATGTATAATAAATATTAAATTCCATTTGTTTATCCACATATAAACTTCTAAAGTAAAAAACATGAATTTTGATCTAGCTTATTAGATAAACTGTAAAAACAGATTAAAAAAATACTAATGATTACTAATATGAAGTAATTCTACAACTTACCACAACATTTGAATTGCCCAACTTCCGTGTCTTCGAATAATGAAATAAGAACTGTTAAAAAAAAGTAGTGAGATTTACTATAGACAGTTACTGGTTTCTTTTATTTTTTAGTGTATATATTTATGGAAATCACCTTACCCTTTTGGTATTATCTTTTTCATCTGTTTCCTGTTGAGAAAAGAGAGAAATAAATATTCTATTATATGTAACATTATAAAATTATACATAAAATACTATATTATTATATTACACTACACTATAGTATATTATAGTATACTATAATATATGTAGTATAAAATTTGTAACATTATAAAATTATATCACATAATTTTTAAAAATATGTGACATGCTATATATAAACTATAATACTGAAATTGGTTAAACATATATTGCTCTAAAAATAAATGGGAAATTAATTGGATATTGTTTACAAATAAAGGTGTGAACAAAGTTCTCTACTATAGCATTATTCATAAGAGTAAAAAACCAGAAATATCCTAATAGTTCAACAATGGTGAAATGGAAAATTATGGTATGATCAATCACATGATAGAGTACTCAGAGAAAAAGACTCTAAGGAGTCATATCAAAATACAATACTTGTAGTAATAAGATTATGAGTTATTTTTGGGTTTTTTTTCCATAAACTTTTCTATAGTCCTCTCTCCCTCCAAAAATCTATTTTTTTTAAGAATGAGTCATATTTCTTTTTGTTGTTCCTTTTTGTTCTCATTTGCTTTTAATACAAAAAGAAATTCATGGATAAACACCATTGTCAATTCTTTTATCCTAATCAGGAAGAAAAGTCAATGAAATGTTTTGGAAAATAACACCACTAAAAACACCAAAAAAAAAAAAAATATATATATATACATATATATGTGTGTGTGTGTATATATATATATATATATATATATATATATATATACAGGAAACATTTATGCTTTCAAAATGTCAAGGTTTCTTTGAATTATTGTATGTGAAAGGTATATAAGTAAGAATGTACCAATGATCATAGTTAAATTAGGATTGCTAATGAAAAATGTAATTCTAGACCTGCCTCTCTTATCCTTATAAAGTAGTTTTAAAATAAATTCATCTATAATATACAGAATATAATCTGAAGTATGGTATACTTAAGCTATTTTTCAAGTTCCCAGCTCTCCCCGTTTCAGACCAAAAAGTTCTTCTAGATGAATCAAATAATTTTAATAAGAAACCAAGACATCACAGTAAGAATATAATTTTCAAACCGATACTGTCTATATATATAAATTCTTAATGTCCTTCTCTCTAGCAAAGTACAATGCCCTGACCTCCAAGCTGAGATACATCTGTTCTCCAATTCTAGTATGAGAAAAGGAGTCAAAATGACCCCAAATTTCTTTCATGAGAACTAGAGCACATCTTATGAGAGGGCTATATGATTTTCCAATTAGATGATTGTAAACCCCATTAATGTGAACACTAAATTCTCAGACACCTGAGAAACTTAAGTTTTTGTTTCTTATCCAAAACCAACTCATGATCTTCTTGGCTCTTCATGAAATGCTTCCTAAATCGGGTATATTTTCTTCCAGAAGGAATACCAAGGTATCACTGAGCAATTCTTTTTTTTTTTGCCTACAATTAAAACACTATTCCAACCTTACCTGGGGCTTTGGTAGAGTCCTCCTAATTGTGATGCAAAGCTCCTCCAGTGCATTGGATGCCTAATGAAAATGAAGATATATAGGCCAACCTTGTGCTTTAACAATATTTGCATAGAATATGTAACTGTCGAATATTAGGAGTGCAAGGATATTCCAACACCCAGAATAGATTCCTTCTCGTGTCCCATCAAAACTCTGTAGAAATCCCTTGGTTTCTTTCATGACAAAAACTTGGCTCCTACAAGTAAAACCTTCCTTCCAACCAGGGGGGGGGGGGGGGGGGGCGGGGAATGTTATGCACTGTATATATGCACTGATTAAGGCTTCCACGGTGGTCCAGATACATAGTTCTCTCATACTTTCTAAGAGTCCGTGAAATTGTATGACTGAGAGAAACTAGAACAGTGCCAAAAGAGGGATTATTCCTCCCAGCTTGTAGCAAAGTTTGAATCTACATGCCATAGCTGTGAGCTTCACTGAATATTACTCATTAGTGGCTAATTTGAAAATCCTGCAAGTGCTTGCAAACAATGGGAGTTGGAGGGAAAGAAGCCGCACATGGTGCACCTCATCGGAGTTACCACCCTTCCAGGCTGCTGACTGCACACCCCAGGATCAGGTTTTTCAAAGCATCTGAGCACAGAAGTAGGGCAGGGCTCCCTGTGGTTAGGAGCCGGCTGGGTGTGGTGAGGACTAACACAAATGGACAAGCAGGGGCGAAACCTGCTTTGCACAGAATTTAGCACACTAGAACCATGAACAATTGATTACTTAATGCATGTTAGAAGTAACAAGGAGCTGGAACAGTGTGGGGGGGAGCAATTTAATTCGTAGTTAAAAACGTGGGCTGTGGAGTTGAGCAGCCTGTCACTGCTCAAAGGCAGTGCAAGTTCCATTTCTACTCATTAGCTGTGTCACCTTGGGCTGGTTACCTAACCTCTCTAAACTTCAGTATCTTCAGCTATAAATCGGGGATGACAACATCACTGCAGAGAGTTCTTGGAAGGATTAAATGTAGGTAGAGCTCTTAGCACAGTGCCAGGTACATAGCAATTAGTTAACAATAATAGCATTAAAGAATGTGTGGCCTGTAAAGCTGGATTTACAACTGAAGTTACTCTTCATGTAGGAGATACGTCAGAAAGGATTATTTGGGGCCACCCATATCCTCACCCTTTGAACAACAGTGCATGTTTAACATGGTGGGCTGAAGTTAGGGATACAGATGGAGTCATGGATCAGCTTCTCTGAACATCCTCCCCAGCACATCAGAGGCCTGCTTTGTTCTCTTCCATGTGCTTGTCTGCCATGCAGATTGTTGGGATGTTTACTAATAATATGAAATGGCTCCTATTTCTGTAGTGCTTCACTAGCTTACAAAACACTTTCATACACCTAATTCACATTTTGTCCTTAAAATGCATCCGTGTGTTATGAAGGACAGGAATCGTTCTTCTCGTATGTAAAGGAAGTGAGGTTCTAAGAGACTATCATTTCCTCGATACCACACGTGGCTAATGGTTGGTCAAGTGTGGCCTGGGAGCTGGGTCGTCGGACCTGCAAGTATTCCCGTGTTTCACTGGCAATGACTGTGAAGCCTGTGACCAGGGAGTTGGATGAGAGAAAGAGTACGAACACTGATACACTCTTTCCCACGTTTTCCCTTCAGCGTTGGGTACATAGGTCACCCCATAAAAAATTCGGAAACAGATTCCTGAAACTTCCTTTTATGGCCCATTTAGAAATGTTATAAAATACAAAACAATAAAAAAATATATATCTGGTGGTGTCATGTGTCTCTTAACACACAAAAGAATAAATGTAGCGTCTCCCAAGAACACAGCTTTGAAGCCGGATGAGGCTTCGCAACAAGACCGAAGTTTGAAGGGAAAAGTTTTAAAACAAACTGTATTTTTTCCAGCCACCCTTCTCATGAAACCATTATTCCTGGAGCTACAACTATTCTTTAAGAGTTTTTCTTATACTAAATTTTTAATACTTTGTTTTTTATTTGTGAACCTTTATTTTCCATTTGGTAAAAATGTTTTGAAGCATTGTTCAGAAAATCATATAAATAATAAAATTATAACTAATGTGAAAAGAAGTGATTTTTAAATTTTTTTTAGTTTATTTATTTTGAGAGAGAGAGAGAGAGAGAGAGACGAGAGAGAGCAGGAGCGGGGGAGGGGTAGAGGGGCAGAGAGAGGGAGGGAGAGAGAGAATCCCAAGCAGTTCCACACTGTCAGCACAGAGTCTGATGTGGGGCTCAATCCCACAAACCATGAGATCATGACCTGAGCCAAAACCAAGAGCCAGACGTTTGACTGCGTCATCCGGGTACCCCGAAAAGTAGTGATTTTTAAAAATTGTTTTCGTGAATGTAAACGATGTCATAGTAAATTGACCAAGCTCTCTTCAAAAGGTACACAGTCTCCAAATCCAGTAGAAGCTTCATTTAGCTTCATGGTGTCTAGATGAGTGAGTGCTTTTAATTCATCCTTTTAGTACTGCAGAAATAGAAATGATTCTGAGGGTGTTCTTGAATTTTAAATACAATGCAAAAGCTTACGTGCTAATTAACACCCATCATATGTTATATGTCCATCAGTGCTTCTCCTATAATTTGAATTATTCATAAATGTCATCTCTTGTGATCCTGGTCTTGCTTTTTCATCTAATGCCACTAACTCCCTGCAAGTGACCCTCTGCAAACTGAGAAATGGATTGAGGAAGGAGAAATACAGCATTTCTCTACCTGGGCCGTGATGACATTCTGGAAGGACAAAGCATGGCACCTTAGCCAGACCATGTTGGTGTTATGCCCCAGGCACATTGCTGATTGTTCTGAAAGAGGATGAGCCAAGAGCCTCTCCTGAGCCCTCCTCTCCATCCAGGAAACTGTTGACACTGATGAAGAGAGAGTGAACGCTGAGCCTAACTCTGCTACACCTGTGCTGGAAGCAGAGCTGCAGACAGAACAGCAGTGTCCAGTCCAGTGGATGCTGTGTAAGGAGGACACGCTTATTTTCAACTCCTCACGCTTCGCGTGCAGGAGCTAGACTAGCACTCCTCACTCCCCAACCCTCTCTGAACTCTTTGCTGTGGGAAGGGGACAGTTACCTGAGAGGTAACTGAGTGGAGGAAACTGGGCACATTCAGCCCTTTCCTCTTAAAGAGCCAGCTGTCTGGCCAGCTGTTTTGGTTGAGTCTCTGCCCTGTGCCAGCAAACCCGACTGGTGGGGAGGCCTCAGGTCACTGTCTAACCCCAGTTTAATTCTGGGAATTAAATTCTGGAGTTAAAGTCTGGGAATTCTTAGCAAACACTCTGGGCATCAGATCTGAGGCCACATTCACAAATTGACTATTTTGAACTCCCCAAGTCTGATTTCACGTTCCTCTCTGCCTGGGTTTCAAACTCAACTGAGGGACAGTTGGGATATGAGCCTCCAAATGCAACCAGAGGCACATTATTTTTAATCTAACACAGAATTTGATTTTGAAATTAGCATTTTGATTTCCAAAATATGTGCATATTATCTGCAAATCTATTTTACTTAGAGACAAGTGCCCCAGCATGACCTTACAACATAAACTCCTAGAACTGATTATTGCCTGCGGATAATGTAATAATTTCTAAAGTGTTGACATGTTTAATAAGTCCATAAAGTAATGACGGGTCCAAAGGGAGAAATGGAGTGACAACTGCTTATGTTACTATAAAACATCTTCAAATGGAATTACCTGAGGCTGAGAATCAAGGGACAGGAAAGACGAACAGGCATCATCTATCTGTAGAAAATAAAAAATGCCAGTTACACCTTGGAAAAATAGACAGAAAAGAGCAGAAAATGGGAAGTGGATTTTACAAAGTCAAGTTACCTAGGTACCATTAATTTAAGTTCTGAGACAGTTCAGGACTCTGGATTTGGGCAGGAAGAGCCTGTTAAACTTTCTAAGGAAGTCCTGGAATTGGGATCTCCCCAAGATTTACCTCCAGCCACAGGGCTAAATGGTCCCCAAGGACAGTTGATAGGGATCGACAGAGAGTATACAGATGCTTCAAATACTGAGAGAAACACACTTTGGGTATTCAGCCTGAGAAACGCGAGCCAGCGATGAAGAAAGAATGGCCTCAAAATTAAGGAGCACCCTGTTATCATGTGGTTCTTTATCACGTAAGTCTAATCACATCATCTAAATGAACATGATAATAGAAGTGCTAAATGAAAAGTAGCTTGATACATAGCACCCAGAAAAAACTCTTACACAACAGCAATCTACTAGTTCTCTACCAAGAAGCCAGCATCAGGAAAGGATTCTATTTGCAATGAAGGTTTATTGGGGAATCAGTAAAGGTTTCACCACATTCTTTACATCTGTAAGGTGTCTCTCCAGTACAGACTGTCTTATGTCTATTTAGAATTGAGAACTGACTAAAGACTTTTCCAGATTTATTACATCTATATGGGTTTTTCCAACATGGATTCTCTGATGTTCAGCAAGATTGGGGGACTCATTAAAAGCTTTCCCACATTCATTACATTTATAAGGATTATCTCCAATATGGATACTCTCATGTGTAATAAGGTCTGAGCTTTCAGAAAAGATCTCCTTGCATTTATTACATTTATCATGGTTCTCTGGAAAGTGACTCCTCAGGTGTTTATTAACATTATTTGAGCCTTGGGGTCCCTGGGTGACTCAGTCTGTTAAGCATCTGAGTCTTGAGTTCAACTCAGGTCATGATCCCAGGGTTGTGGGATCGAGCCTCGCATTAGGCTCAGTGCGGAGCCTGCTTGGGAATTCTCTCCCCCCCCACCCTGCCCCCCCTCAATCTGTCCCTCCCCCTCATGCATTTTCTCTCTCTCTCTCTCTCTCTCAAAAAGAAAACAGATTTTGGAAACCCTTTAATCAGTGCTCAAACCTTATTTAATACTACGGAATTCATACTAGAGAGAAACCTTACAAATGTAAAGAATGTGGTAAAACCTTTAAGGACTTTTCAACCCTTACTCACCATTTCAGAGTTCACACTGAGGAGAAACCTTACAAATATAAAGAATGTGGCAAGTCTTTAGATGGAATTCACAACTTATTCACCATCATAGATACCATACAGGAGAGAAACCATAAAATGTAAAGAAAATGACAAAGCCTTTAACTGGAATTTAGTCATTATTCGGTATCCCCAAAGGCACACTAGATTCAAACCCTTGAAATGTGATGAAAGAGGAAAGACCTTTGTTGTAAATACACAGCTTAGAAAACACCAGAGTGCATAAAGGAATATAACTTTAGAGATATAAAAATTTAGAAAAGTATTTAGTTGAACATCAAATATCAATAAATGTCACGATTGACAGTAGAAAGCAGTAAGTCAGTGACTCCTTTCAGACATTACTTTAAGCCAGAGTATGAGAAGGAATATAAGTTAAATGCTTAGATACTGTATTTGCTAGCATGCTTCAAAAGATAAAGGGGATGGATTTTTGGACAGGTATAATTAATTACAACATGCTTTTTTATATTGACCTTATTTGACATTTGTAACTAGCAAATTTTAATGTATTTCTACTCTCAAATTACTTCATTGAAATACGTGTTTTCCCTAGTGGGTGTGGGAAATCATGTGATGATTGTTGCTGCATGAAAGATAATGTGACACTCTTCTTCCTGTGGTGGGATTCATGCATATCTGTTTTTCCTTTGAAGATTAAGGAAAATATAATATATATGAGGAAAATCTAAATGGAGATACTGTTTGTAGTTGACTTATAGCATTGATGGAAGTTACCATGAAATGGATGTTCACACAATCATCTGTGTTTTGTATAACTAAGGGACATTTTGAATTTTACAGATAAAATCTGATATCAAATGGTCTTTATGAAAAAAAGAGGTGGCAATACAATAAAATACTGTTGTATTTTTGTAATAGTAATAGTTAGAAGTAGAGAATGTTAGTTGTGGTAGCAATAAAGAAATCTTTACAGATTAAAAAAAAGGTTTATTGAACTACAGTTGACAGCTGTTCTCAGCCTTTATCTCTTTTTCTAAGAGAAAAACTGAAAGACTTTAAACTACTATAAGAGATTTATATTAATCACTAAACTAACTGTGCTGCAAAAGTTAAACACTAAGCTGGATGTCTGGAGTAGTTTATGGCATTTATTTCTTTGCTGGCCTTTTTAAATGGGACTGGAAAAAAACAGTACTGATTTGTGTCTGTCTGGGATGATTTAGGTTGAGTCCTATTTATGGTCAACATCTCAGAATTCTTTGCTGATCAGTTTAATTTAATTTCCATCATTATACTATACTGAAGGGGGAATAATCATACTCTTTGGTCATAATTCCTCATGCTCCTTACTGCTTCCAAGTGAACATGTACTTAAATATATGATTCTCTAATTTAGAGAATAACAAAGGCATACAGTATCATATAAGAGCAAAGGCTTAATGTCTCTCTCCTTTTATCCTCACAGAGCCTGCTATCTTCTCTAGATGCCACAAATATTTAGGAAATTGTTCTATTCCAGTCATTCCTTGTGCCCACCCACCTCCTCCCTCTTCCATGCCATACAAATACGGAATTATGACTACAAACACACACACACACAGTGATAAACTTCTTGAGGGCGGAGGTTATGCCATATCTAACTTGCCCAGAATAAGTGTTTGATAAATATTCTTTAATTAAATTGCATTGAACCTATGGAAAGAAAACAAAATAAAAAGAGAAGTCAACTGAGGGGAAAGGCAAAAAGGGGAAAGGCAAAAAGATACCTTTTTTAAAGCTTTGAATTGTGACCAATGCTTTAATATATTGCTTCCAAATGTTACTTAGTTTGCTAAGTTTGCTCAGTTACTTAGAGGGTAGGAGGAACGGGTTCCTCCAGTAACATTTTTGTGATACTTAGATAGCTGCAGATATCACATGCTCAAAGGCAAAGCTGTCCACCCGCAGACCAGGCTGCTGCGTGGGTGAGGTGCCCGGGTCCAAAAACAGCAAACTCTTGAACCTAAGGGCTGATGAATCAGTGCATCAATGTTGTTTGCATAAAAAATATCCGAATAAGAAAAAGAAAACACCAATTAATCAAATTGGGAGATAATTGCAAAGCTTTTCAATCTTTGTTCTCTTTTCTTTAAAAGGCACAGCAACATTGCTCACCCACTTTCCATTTGGATAAGCATTTATTCATTTTACTCAGCTTGTGGCCCTAATGGTTTTAAGTGCCACTAATTGCTTTTGAGAACTCTGCAAAATCCATTGACGAATCTGTTTGAAAATGGTTAGGTCTCTGTAAATGGTTTGAAAAGGATGTGTTTCTAGTGTCTGAAGAGCTCAGTAATTTTTAAAACCCCCAGAAGAAAAGTGCATGTTTTAGCATCTTAATTTCTTTAAATATCTTTTTCTATAAAAGAATCTATAGTGCTTTTACAACTCTATTTGAGGTTTCCCCCAGCTTTCTCATCTAAAATATTTTTTCAAAGATTTTCCACAGAAATATAGATAATTCCAAGCTAAAATAAATGTTTCTGTATTATACATTAATGTCTGTTGTCAAAATTATTCTTCATCTTGTTTATATGCCTCTAGCATGTATTTTGATACACTAAGGCAGAGAACATTATAATTGACTTTCTGAATTTTTATGCTATTAGAGATTACTTAGTACTTGGCACTTACTATCCATCTCATCTCTTCCTTTATGTATTTTGTTAGTGGTGGCTTAGGTGAACAGAATATTCTCCTCAGCTCTTAGTTCACAATCATCATTGAACCTGCTTTATTTATTTATTTAATTTATTTATTTATTTATTCTTTTATATTTCAATTTCCTACTCCTGTTTCATCCACTCGTGGGCAACTCTTCTTATGTATTTGATGTGTATCCTTCATTTGTTTATGTTCTTGAAAAATCTGTATTACTATTTGGTGTGCATGTATGGTGTTTCCTTATTTTTTCCATTTAACACTATACTTTGAGATCTATCCATGTTACTGGGGACATCTAGTATGTTGCTCCTAGCTGCTGTAGAATACTCTATAATGTGCATCTACACATGCATCTACAACACGCTTGTTGCCTATCCCGCTCCCCAGTGATAGACAGCGGGGTTTCCTCCAATTCTATTCAAGCAAAGCTGTAATCAACCTCCTCGTATTTATCCTCCACTTACGAATCTGTTGAAGTTATCTTTGGGCTATCTACCCAGGAGAGGGAATGCTAGATCATGGGGATATCTAGGTTGCTTTCCAGATGTCTCCACCAGTTGACACTCTCACCAATAATGCATGAGGTGTGTACAACCCACATCCTCGCTAACACTTGCCATTATCTAGATTTCAATTTTTTTTTGCCAATCTAAATGGGTAGAGAGTAACACTTTGTTGTTATCTTGATTTTCATTTCATTGTTACTAATGAATCTGAGCATCTCTTTACATGCTTATTGGCCTTTTAGGTTTCTTCTTTGTAAATTGTCTGTTCTATCCTTTGACAACTTTTGCCTTAGAGCCTTATCTTTATCCAATTGGTTTGATAGAGTTTCTTAGATAGTCTAGAAATTAATCCTTTGTCAGTTTTAGACATAGCCAACATCATTCAAAGGCTCTTCCTTTTTAAATGTAGTCCTTTTGAAAGAAATCTTTACTATCGTATTTTTGGCCTTATGATTTATATTGGAAATTTTGTGCGTTTTTTTAAAGTTTATTTATTTGGGAGAGAAAGAGACAGTGTAAATGGGGGAAGTGCAGAGAGAGAGAATCCCAAGCAGGCTCTA